TAGTTACTGATGAAGTTGGGAGGTGATAAAGACTGAGAATATAATCAATAAGGAGATACATTGCTGATGCTGAAGCATCTGGATGGTTGGCTAGGATAACGTTTTGATATGACCATTTACGAAGTTTATATGCCCAGGAATACACTGTAGACAAGGCTTGCAGTACATATGTTTGTAGGAGGATTAGGGCAGGGGTTTTGTCCTATGTATAAGGCATTATTGACAACTGAACATGAGGTCGTTGTTCTGCATGGTGGTCATTAAATCAAATGTAGTATGTATCTTTGGATGCCTAAATAAGGGAGTGCCAAGTAAGGACTGGGCAATCTTATTCTCTAGCTACGTAGCTACCAGGGATGGATGGTCTGAGAAGGGCACCAGCTTCAAAGCTGTCCTTTGAATGGAAGAAAGGTGACATAAAATGCCTCTGGTCTGGAAGAGCAGAGCTGAGGTCTAGTGTAGTAGAGGACCTCTGCTCCTTGTCCAGCCATCACATACAATAGCCTGGGAAGCTGTACAGCAGTGTAAGTGAGCAGTGAGAACTACTGGGGCTTCCAGCTTGCAGGCAGTGCCCATAGCCTGTCCTTACTGCACTTTCTTCCACTTTTTCCTGTGGCCAGGGATCCTGAGGCAGGTCTTCATCTCCTTCTTCCCTGGCACCACTCACAAAGAGCAGGAACTAGTAAACTTCAGATCCTGTCCCACATGCTGTCAAGTCTGGCTTTGAGACATGATGTCTCAGGAGAGACATTCATGAACAGAACTTTCTCAGGCCAATAAGAATGATTAAGAAGCTGAAAAATAGGATTAATGGAAGATTCAAGGAAACAATTTATTTTTATTAGGCTTGGTAAAGGTGGAGAGTATGTGAGTGTTTGGATGGGCAGAAATGCTTCCTTAGCAGGTTTAGCAGGCTCTTCCACTTAGCAGTCAGTGGTCTAACAAGACCCAGTGGCTGGAAGTTGGAGTTGGATGCAGTCAGGCTAGAAATACTAACACATTAAAATCTCCATGCCAGTCAGTCCATCCTCTCAAAAAAACCCCACAAAAACCCTAGCCCTTATCAGTCCATCTTCTGCACAATTCCAGCAAATTCAGCCAGTGCCAGTATTAAGATTGCCTTAAGAGTTTTAACCATATTCTGTTCATTTGATGGTGGTTGTTAGCAGGATTTGAAGCTGGAATTGGTGTCTCCCCAGAGATGCCAATTGGTATCTCCCTATCATCTCACTGAAAGAGTCAACAATTGAAATTCCTTTATGAATTGGCACCAGGGCATTCAGGCAGGAAGGTCAGGGTGAACATGCATTTGGCAGCTAATGGTCAAGCTATGGGTTATGTAGATCAGCCTGTCTGGAGCTGCACTCACAGTGTACTTGTACCTGCCACCCCACATAGGACAACTGAGAGTGTAAGATGTTTGGGAAAATGTTTTCTCATCACTGGTTTTAGCGAGTCTTCCAGACCTATTCATTTATCTTGTACTTTATGTTGAGGAGGTATTTTTAACAGGGAATTGCCACTTTCATGCCTTATTTATACTTTGGCTTCTAGGCTGATGTGGCTATGGAAATATCAAGGCAGACATGTAGCACTTTGGATGTCTTTTCATTGCAGATCTGGTCCTGCAAAAAGGGAAGACAGACCCAAGTCGCTGAACTTGAGTTTGACTAATTAGGCTGTGAAACCTGTGTTATCCCGCTACAGTCTTGCATCTGGATGTTTGCACGCATCTTTGCAGATTTATTCTGCTAGACTCTCTGGATGTATTAAAATCCCCAAGAGGGTCCAGGGAAATGGGACATAAACCTTGGCTTTTGGACGATGGATGAGCTTTGACAGCAGAGTAGTTTAGCTGCAAGGCGGTGTTCTTGGACATTGCGGACAGCCTGGTACTGTGAAGCAACCGGAATATTAAAAGCCAAATCTGGATCAGTGGTAATGAAAAAAGGGTATTAGCCAAGACATCAAAGATGAGATATTACTGAGGATAAGCATGTTTTATTGGCAGGTTCATTTCCTAAATAGTTGAGGGTGGGGGTGGGGCCATCTGGTTCACTAATCCTGATTCTGAAAACGTGAGAATAATTTGAAAATTGTGCAAGGTGCAGAGATTGATAGAGGCATGTTGGCATTCAGACAGCTGGTCTGGATGGCTCAGATGAGTATGGGCAAGTTAGCCTTGAACCTGTACCATAGAAACTAGGGGAAAAGTTGTTACAGAATTCAAGAGGTAGAAAAGATCAGAATTATAATGAATGCTAGTAAATACACACTTTATGTAAAGGTTTTCTGGTCAAACAAACCTAATCTTGTTTATTTTATAAATTGTGAGCTTAAAGTAACAGCATGTTTGCAGCCTGCTTAGCATTTTGTATTGCACATAATTTAGAATCTTGTGACATTCTGATTTATGTAAAAAAAAAAAAAAAAAGGAATATCAAGCATAAAACAATATTAAAAACTGGCTCACAGTTATCAGAAAGTAATTATCAGTAGGAAGCCACTCAGGTTGTGGTTTGAAGGTCTTCCTCTGGATTAGCAAGAGGGACAATAGTAAGTGAGAATTACTGCTTATAAAACATGACATGATTGACATAAATGCTGGTCAGACGGTGAGTAACTATGACAGGACTGTCATGATGTGACCCGGATCACTTAATTCACAGAATCTGTTTAAAGACAATGCATTTTAACCAAGCCAAAGGTAATTATACACCTAGAAACAGGGAATGCAGAGCACATCGGTAAAATGTGAGGCTTAGGAAAGACTCAAAATATATCTATTAGTGATACAATAGCCAGTCAGCTCCATCAACCCCCAAAGCTTGACTTTTAGAGACAAATTGATCTTAGCCCAGTTTTAGCCATTAGACAAGAAGCACAGTCATGGGACACAGATGTGCCCTGCCTCCCCTAAAAAAACCAACAAATAAGCAAAAACCAACCAAACAACAAAAAAAACCCACCTGCACGGGGCAGATCATTGAATCCCAAAAGAGATTGGACCAATTTTCTTCTGAATGTCTCCCTTCCTCCCTCTCTCAGCTGAATTCAGAGATTCTGCTGAATAACCTTGAGATGGCTAAAGTGAGGTGAGAGAAATTCCAGCTCTTGTATCTGTTATTTTACCTCTGTATATGGTTTTGGTAAGACCAGTACAATATTCCCACTTTCTGGTCTCTGTATTCTTAAAACATCGTTGCAAGTTTGAACAAGGTGCAGATAAGAGACCCAAAACTGATCTTTGTGTGCCATAAATGCCTTGTGGTGTGATAATGCAGGAGCTTGAATTACTTCACTTATTGCCAAGATGATTGAGAAGGGACTTGATTATGATGTGTAAGTACTTTCAAAGGGAGAAAACACCAGGTACTAAAAGACTCTTTAGCATAGTATAGAAAGTCATAAGAAGAACCAATTGCTAGAAGCTGAAGGCAAATTTGTGTTAGAAATTAAGCAGCAATATTAGTACCACTTTAGCCTCAAGTAAGTTACTAGGTACTGTACAGAAGAAAGAGGGTTAAATTTGTCCTGATATACAGGAGGTCAGGCAAATTTGCCAGGTTGTCTCTCCTGATCATAAACCTTAGAAATCTGTAAAGCCAGAAGTGGTTTAATGCAAGTTTTCTTTATTTCATTCAAAGCTACCTGGAAGAGTATGACATTCTTATTCCTTTCAAGGATTTAGTTTAAATCAAACCAAGAAATTTTAGATTAAATAATTTTAAAAATATCACTGTCTGCATTATTTAGGGAGAAGAGACTCAGATTTCTGGATGTAATATTTCAGTCTATAAGACAATGGAAAAATTACAGACAACTCAGAATGTCTTGTGTTACTTGGCATCAGTATGTCTAAGTATTTCTCTTCTGTGACATTGGCAGCTGAAGGTGGTGGTGACAGTGTACACCAATAGCAGGACAAAACTCTGTTGGAAGGACATTTTAAATAGTGAGAGCTAATCAAGCCATTAAAGCTCATCCTTTCTTGTTACATAAGACTGTTCCAGAGGTGTTTGTTTTACACATATTGTGCTGCCTGTGCCTAAGAGTGATGGATAAATTGCCACACAGACAGTCCACACACACACACTGTACACTAGGATATCATAGTAGAGAAGCAGGTGTTTGCCCATCATCACTTCTCTCTTCCTTTCTACATCAAGTTGCTTTTAATTTTTAGGCTTTTCTACCTTTACAGAGTAGGCTGGTACTATTGTACTGCTCTGTTAGCTGTCATTGCTTTAGGCAAAAAGTGTTCACGTTGGATTACAAAGTGTCAGTGTTACAAAGGTGAATGTACAGAGAGTAGTATTAACTGACCCTTCTTGTGTGGTCTAGATTACTAACTGCAAGTTTTTATTTCTTTTCACCAAGTGTTAGCAAATATAGTATCATTACTTTGTTGCATTGTATTCCTTTAGTGAACAATTTTTTTTTTTTTGTGCTGTAATAAGATGGAAATAGGTTACTCTCTTCTGAGGATAGAATAAAATTAGCTCTCATTTTACTATCCACTAATTTTGGATACTTTGATGTTTGGATTCTCTTTGTAGATTATTTTTTCCATGGTCACTGACTGTATTCTATGCACATTTCTAGAAAACAGTTCGTAGATAATCTGAGTGAAACAATCTAGAAAAAAGAGGAGCACGCACAGTTACTATATCTTTATTTAAAATTTGGTCACAGTGATTCACTCTTAATATGTAAAACATCTGATTGCAAAATAAGGAAGTCTAGGGGATACCAGCTGTGCAAGCATGCTTTTCCTGCTTGTTTCTTCAGTTATTTAATCTAGTTAAATAAATTAAATCTGAACTTAAATTCAGAGATTTTAGAAATTAATTTGAGATTTGATAATTTATAATTGCATTATATTTACTAAATACTTAATCAGTGAAAAATAATTCAAATGTTGACCATGTTGGTGAATCTTATTTTAATGTCCAGTTTTGCCCTTTTTTTTTTTTTTTTTTTTTTTTTTTCCATTCTAGATAAACTTTCTTTGGAAGGAATAGTGGTGCAACGTGCTGAATGCAGACCTGCAGCTAGTGAAAATTATATGAAACTGAAAAGGTAGGAGTGCTGTATAACAAATGGATATGTGATATTTGACTGATGTTTTTATTATTGCCTTACTCTGAATGGATGACTTCGTTATTATCATGACCTTACATGGGATTTATACGGGATTGGAACTGTTCTTGTCTTTGGGGTGGATTTACTTTAGGGAGGGAATCAAGGCTGACATGGGGCTTGTACATCCCTCTGGTATTGTCTGGTTGGATGAAGTAGACTTTTGTGTTCCACCATGTGCAGAGCTCTTACTAGAGCACACATTGTGCCTCTTCATACCTGAACCTATGAATGTGTGGCTATATTCAAATGTGATTGAAGCTGAATTTCCTGAGGACCTAAAAGGTGTACATTGTCTGGTCAGTGTGCTTAAGTATGGGTTTCTGTGTGGATCCTTCAGATTTAATGCCACTTAATACTGTGCCATGCTAGACAAAGAGCACCTCTGAAAAGGTGCCCAAAATAGGAAAAAGTTCATGGAGAAATGCTAGAGCTAAACTGGCACACTTGCTAGAAAAGGTAATGGCTGAAAATGTCAGAAATGGCATGGAAACCACAAGACATACATTTAACAGACTTCTGAAAATTTATTCCAACACATCTAGAATTTACCATGTGATTCTTATATTAAATGGATAATTAACTTGATGTTCTCTAGTAATAAATCAGATTTAGAATTGAATTGTGCATGATATTAAATACATATTTATATATTTTAAGGATGTGGGTTTTAATTAAATCACCCTTTTATATTGTGAGTTTATTGTAAATAGAGAAATGCAAAGCAGGACATTTCAGGAAGAGAATAATCCATGGCTAGTTCTAGAATCATTAAAAGAAATGCAGAAAAGGCAAAGTAATGTTTTTTCCCCCCAATTTGTGATATGTTTCGTATGTTATCATATACTACATTTAGAATATCTTATGTTTTATTAACTTCTGCTGTCATCTAAACTGCTCCAGTATTTCCTTACTGTGTTCATTCAATTCTGAGACTTTATGTTCTAGCTGTTGGCAAATCAGTACCATAAGTTTGCTCATGTAGAGTGAACTACTTTATTCCAGACTGAGTTCTCTGATTGCTGTCATGATTTTTATCATCAGTGTGAAATGGAGTATGAAGCAAATGTGATGTTACTAGAAAAGGACTCATTTCAATGTGTCAATTTTAAATATATACAAATATAGTCTGTGCGATGTATTTGCTTCATAATTGTTGTAATCACAGGTTGCCCGATCCAAGTGGTTTTTGCATTTTTGTACATAGTTTTCTATGAGTTGATCAAATAAGCTGCTTCTGGTAAGGCCACAGCAGGAGACCAAAACATAACTGATAGCTTTAATGACATACTACCCAAACTTTGAATTCTACTTTGTCACACATGCATGCGTGTAGCCCCTCCTGGTCTTTGATTTTGTCATGTTCTACTCCTATAGGAGCAACAAAGAAGAAAACACAAAGGTGGGTTTTGTGTTTGGAAGTACTGGCAGCTGAAAACTGATGGTACTGTTGTTTTTTCTTTCCTGTGGAAAAATTGTCAGGCTGTGTATGCCTCGTTTCTAACTTTCCATGTTGTTAAAGATTTATTTTTTTTTACCTTTTACTGAGAAGTTTTTAAAAAAATCTGGTGGGAATCAGCATGAGATTTAGCAGATCTTGCAGTCACAGCCTCAGAAGAAATTGGTTTATGTCCAAATACTGTTTCTGCTATCTGAGTAGTAGGATCTAACTTTTCATTCCCTTTACTCTCTCCCACCCTCAACATGCTGCATTTATGCTTAAAAAAAGTGACAGCATTCAAGATAAACCACATAAGTTACAGAACTGTGTTATATTAAACCATTTTTATTCGCTTTTCTATTTACTATTGTGCTTTACATGAGAGAGACTCTCCAAAGGTGGAATTGATAATATTGATAAAACAGCAAGTCTGTTGTGTAGGCTTTAAGTGCTGCAATAGTAAGTTGAGTTGGGAAGGAAATAAAATTAAAAGATAAATGCAGTTGCTTCAAACTTTAAACGTCTAGAAAATTAAGCTGCACACTCTAATAACTGTAATCATTTGTTTTCTGAGAGCTGGCAGCAACCAAAAGGGTTTATATACCTTCCTGGTATTAAATGCAGATATGGATCATCTCTATTTTACCATCTGTATCTGGGTCAAGAAAATCAGCTGATGGGTATGTAGTGTGGTGTGGCATTTGCCTTCCATGCTATGTCTAGGTCAAGGAAATCAGCTGATGGGTGCGTGGCGTAGCGTGGCATTTGATTTCCATGCTGCTCTGCAGAGTTTTAGTGAGAGGACAAAGTGATGGTCTTGTGATGGGGCTGCCAGCAGTTAGGTGGGAGATACGTGTGACGTGTGGGTTTAAGGATGCATAATGAAAGCACAGAATTTGGTGACATGCATGGGCGAAAGCGTTATCAAATGTAGCAGACGGGAGGGTATTTTCCCAAGGAGCAGCTTTTGATTTGATTACAGGAAGTTGTGTAGATGGCTGATGTTCAGAACACTGAATACAAGGCACAAATGTGTGTCTAGGGATAACGAGTCAGAAAGGTAGAACAAAGGTTGTGTGACCTTCACTGGATATTTTCCATTTTTGAAGTTTTGTTGCTGGCAGGTTTATTTTTTTCTGTTTTCCTGAACTTCACGTTCTAGAAGGGGAACACATACCATGAAACATCTGCTATCCTGTACTAGTAAAGCTTCATGCTACTGAATTTCCTAGAAATTTTTTATTAACAAGGTATTTGTTCTTTGTAACACCTTAATGATTAGTTACACATTTGCAGTTACTGCTGGTGATGCTATTGCAGCTAGTTGGAAAATAATATGTGGTTTTCAAGCACCTGTCCTAATTTCTGTCTTGTGGGAGTGGATCTCATGATCCCACTTAAAAATATTTAGACCGTGTGGTGAAAAAAATAGGCAGACTGTTCCCAATTGCAGACGGTTTTACTAGGTGGTGGTTACAGAATATTGTCCCTACACTTCCTGGTTGATACTTACCCTCTTGCCCCATCAAGCCTGTTGGATGAAGGAAGATGGTGGCATGTGAACTGTTGTAGCAGAGGGTATGTAACACAGATGGGGTTACGTGCATGGCTCACTGTACAGCACATGCTGTATTTGCACTAGTCTTGTGCCCCCACTATCCATGTCACCTTAGGTAGGCTGCCTTTCCCTTCGGCCAGGCTGCCCTAGGCGGGCACTCCGCATCCACTCCATCCAGTCCCACCAAACTATTTTCTTCATTTTACTATAGTCAGCTTTCCACCACAAGGAGGCATTATCTGTCCCTTAATTTTGTCTTTTGAAGGCTTAAGATTTTTTTTTTTTTCATTTCCTTCATTCCATGATCCCAGTGTTTAACTGCCTTGGGATTAATGACTCCCCAAAGAGAGAGGTCCTTCAAGAAGCTTGTTTGTACTGGGAAGGACAGGGCACAGGGAGAGAGGAGTCCCCCATGCATTCAGGATCCTCTCAGGCTCCAGATGACTTGAGAGGAGATGAGAATAAGATTTTTAATACTCCCAAGGGTCTTTTGCTATGCACAAAAGAGGGAAAATGGTGCACTGCCACATACCCCATCTCAGAGTCTCCCTGCCAAATTACCTGTTTCCGTCCTTGCACTGGTCCTCACATCGGTTCTGTTCATGATTCTGACCCTAGCGAACCTTCTTCTTTCCTAATTCTTCCTCGGTCCCTCTTTCCCATTTCTGTGTACTTAACGTTTCTCCATTTCATCCCAGAAAGAATTTTATTTTCAAAAACAATTTGAACACATAGGTATCATATACACTCAAATTACATTTCATTTTGAGGAAAAGTTAAGGAAAAAAAAATAACCTCTGGGAGCGACTTCTGCAAAACTAATTCAAACTGACATTGTCAAGTTGAGTAGCTACAACAAGGTCTCCAGAACTGCTCAGGTCCTCTGCAGTTGGGGTGGCTGGGCACCAGGATTGCAGTTCTCAGGGGAGATTTTGAAGGCACATGCAAAGTGCAGGTCAAACAGTTGTTGAATGCGGTGTTTGATAGCACATGTGCAACAGTAGTGGATGGCAGACAAAAACTGGGATAAAATCAGAGCCCTTGGTTCACCCTCAACTGTGCTGGTGAAATAAATACTGGTCACTTTTCAAAATGGATTTTGGGAGAGTATGATTCAACTATACATAATCTGAATTACTGATCTCTCCCAAACTGTACACCAAATTTTAAAAAAAAAAAAAAGAGTCCCAGGATTACAGAAAGCCTAGAAGAGCTGACATTTAACACTGCAGTGAGGATGGTAATCCCTATAATTCTCTTAAGTAACTTTAAAATACATCTTGAAGTATCATTAGTGAAAACGATAGTTGTTAATATGGCAGCTTGTAACAAGGCTGGAAGAATTCTGTGTATCTTCTTGCTTTATCTTTTAAGAATTTTCTACAGAGAGTGTGATAAAAGTACCTAGAACTGGAAAAAAAAGTACCTAGCTACTGGAAGGAACATGCGTGACAGGCTTTTAAGAGAAATGGATGGCAAAACATTCTAGAATAATTAATGAATTGCCACTTTTAAAAAGTCATGTTTCTTTACAGCCATATTACAGAGGCCACTAGAAGTCCAGACACTTGGTGGTCTAGGCCAAGCAAGTGAAATTAATTGGTATAGATGAGGTGCTCATCTTTTCTAAAATACTGTGAGAGTATTGACTGACTGACAGTTCAGTATATTGCTGAAAATTAGCGTTATGCCTGGGTTTTTTTCTCCCAAATACCCCCTACTAGCAAAAGAAGATGAATAATTTGACCAGCATGCCACTTCTTATATATTCTTGCAGATATGCTTAGTTGGCTATGAACTCACTTTCAAAATAAATATGTATGAATACATTTGTGCATTTTCCACAAAAGCTGTTCAGTTTTTTCGAAGTGGGAGGCCATTTTTACTCAAAGCTGAGATTGCATCTGCCTGTCAGTCAATGCAACCTTGATTTTTTTTTAT